AAAAGAAGGCATATGACCATCCTCGATATCCAGGGGTTACGCTCACTTTCGCTCTCTGCACCCCTGGAATATGTCATAGCAAAATGAAAGGCTCAATCTACACCCCCTTGTTGATGAGACAAGAAGACTAGTTCGATCCTTTGATGTACATCAAAAGAATCTCGCGGTCACGTAACGGTAAAAGTTGACTGCCTTTGAAGTCGGGTGTTACCCCTTTGTGATCTTCAAAGGACGGGTGATCTTCAAAGCCTAGCGATTGGTCAGGTATTTTTACCTGAGATCAATCAAACAGCTATCTTTCTGCTTTTAATTTTGCTATGACATACTCTATGGGTGCAGAGAGTGTACGTGAGCGTAACCCTGGAGTATCGAGGGTGTTATAAGATAGACACTCCTACCTAAAATGTAGTGTTGTAAATGTGGATTTCTAAATCGTCGGTTATTTCTATTGGGACAGTTATTTGAATTTCATTGTTTTTTCCATATATATGTGAAATATGTGTTTTTTTCCATAAGCATCTTCCTCCTACAACGTTTTTAACTCATGAACCTACAAGACGTATTAGTTAACCAGAAATGCAATGGTTCAGATATGGAATGGGTACATGTATTGAAAAACACTGAAGAAGTTACGTGGCAGCTTAACTATAACATTGATTGGCATTTATTCTTGTGTAGTATTTCCGTAATCTTCAAACGATAGGTTTCAGCCTAGCCATTGGTCTGTATTTTATATTCTGGAGCCAACCAAATGGCTTACTAAGAACCTTTAATCTTGTCATGATATATTTTAAGGAATTAAGAAAGATACCATTTGTCTATCGAGAGCGGATTCCTAAAATTTCGAAGGTGGGATATATCTTTTCAATATATAATAATTTAATAACAGAACGCGATAATTTTAAACAGAAGTACCATCCCAGCCGTCTATGGTAACTTTTGTACACATATTGACTCGGAGGGAAAGAGGTATTGTGGATATAACCATGCGTTATCCAGATTACAGTGACGGAATAACTGGTAATATATATAGGATCTAACATGAGTTTGCATTTCATATGAGATTTATGAAACGAGTCTAAGAATTTTTCAATTAGGTGAGCCTCTTGCGAGCTAAAATTAAAAAAAATTGTGACGAGTTTCATAAATTTCATATGAAATGAAAACGAGTGTAAGATTCTTTTTATCACATAATCAAGATTTGTGGCATTTATTCGTGTAAAACGACAATTTTCATGCAACGTTGAAATGTAAAAAGACGCCATTTTGACTCCAGTGCGCAAGTCTGTGACGTCACAATTGAAAAAAATTGAAACTTACAGCCAGTCACGGGGCTGATAAGTTATATTACATAGGTTAATACGCAAAAAATATGACATGTGAATATTCACTGGATAAGACAGTACATTATGTGATAAATATATAGACGTCTTTTTGTTATAGCATTAGTACTGTACATTATACTAGTTTCATAGCCATATGTTGCATAAAAATGATTTGGTTCTTGGAATAATTTATTGAACCGATTGAACAAAATATAAAAATTCTTCTTCTAATGTGCCGTATATTATAATCAATGCATGGACATTAATGATCTAGCCGATTCCATTGAGCCATTCAAAGTTATACAGAAAATCAATATAACTAAAATGACTGCAATCCACGCCTCCAGGACGGATAACTATTATGGAATCATTATTACTATTATATTACAGATAACTGTATATACTACATCCTGAAATTAAATAATGACCACTGAAAAACACACTTCTCTTCAGATTTAGTTAGAACAAAACTTTTGATGAAACTAAACAGATCTTGTTTTTTTAAATTAGCAATAAGAAAAACAATGTATTCCTCTGACAATGTTAAAGCAAACAGCCTGATTTTTACTTTTTTTGTATTTAAATTACCATGAACGGATTATACCACTTTTCTTTGAATGTCTTTTATACATGATGTAATGTCCATCTAATATAATCAGTACTTTAGTATGTACTCAACCGGAACACCGGAAGTAACTCTTTACTAAAGTGAGTAATGTAATAACCAGCATGGACTCCGGAGTTGTGTGTTCGCCATCTATGAATCTGCTTTGAAATAGCCTACATCGGCTATCATTAGAGTCGTTACCACACATACCATAACCAAACGTCAACCTTATCATTATCGTTATCAACAAGAAATTCTTTTTGGAATAAATATCTAACTTTACAAAAAAAATGCAAAAAAATGTATAAATGGTCCTCGGAATTAGATTCATTTTGCAAAATAACACTATTTGCATTTAGAGGGACAGGTAATATGTTTGCACTCTTTGCTAAATAAAGGAAACATACATTTTCGAAAGCTTGCACATAAGTGTTGAATTACTGTTTGTGATTAATAACTTAGAATTTATATAAATAGTACTGAACGATTTTGTCAATATATTAGTGATTTAGCTGATAGACTATTTGCCTCAACATAGGCGCACTCATATTCCACTATGAAAAAATATTTAACATAAACAAGAATAAATACTTAGCTACACTCAACCACATTTCGGTGCATAACATGTGTACACTGACGATTTGGCTGACACATTATGATGTATTGTATCCGAGGTGTTTCCCCCC